GAATAAATTTGAGAGCCTTTCCAAGGTAAGCTTCATGACCAGCGGTATGAAATTGCTGAAATACTTGGACATGAGCAACAACTTGCTGAGTCACGATGCAGCTGATGTGCAATGCCGGTGGGCTGAGTCTCTGACAGAGTTGGACCTGTCCTCAAATCAGTTGACAGATTCCGTGTTTGAGTGCTTGCCAGTCAACATCGAAAAACTCGACCTACAAAACAATCAGATCACCAGCGTCACCAAGGGGATGGCTGAGCTGAGATCCTTGAAAGAGCTGAACCTGGCATCGAACAGGCTGGCTGACCTGCCGGGTTGCAGTGGCTTTACGTCCCTGGAGTTCCTGAACATAGAGATGAATTCGATCCTCACCCCATCTGCTGACTTCTTCCAGAGCTGCCCAAGGGTCAGGGAGCTACAAGCCGGGCACAACCCGTTCAAGTGTTCCTGCGAACTTCAAGACTTCATCCGTCTGGAGAGGCAGTCTGGGGGGAAGCTGTTCGGCTGGCCGGCGGCGTACATGTGCGAGTACCCGGAAGACTTGCGAGGAACGCAGCTGAAGGACTTCCACCTGACTGAACTGGCTTGCAACACAACGCTCTTGCTTGTGACAGCTCTGCTGCTGACGCTGGTGCTGGTGGCTGTCGTGGCCTTTCTGTGCATCTACCTGGATGTGCCGTGGTACATGCGGATGACGTGGCAGTGGACGCAGACGAAGCGGAGAGCTTGGCACAACCACCCCGAAGAGCAGGAGACCGATCTGCAGTTTCACGCGTTCATTTCCTACAGCGAGCGCGATTCACTGTGGGTGAAGAACGAGCTGATCCCGAACCTGGAGAAGGGGGAGGGCTGTGTACAACTGTGCCAGCACGAGAGAAACTTCATCCCTGGCAAGAGCATCATGGAGAACATCATTAACTGCATTGAGAAGAGCTACAAGTCGATCTTTGTGTTGTCCCCCAACTTTGTGCAGAGCGAGTGGTGTCACTATGAGCTGTACTTTGCCCATCACAAATTTTTCAGTGAGAATTCCAACAGCTTAATCCTCATTTTACTGGAGCCGATCCCTCCGTATATTATCCCTGCGAGGTATCACAAGCTGAAGGCTCTCATGGCAAAGCGAACCTACCTGGAGTGGCCAAAGGAGAGGAGCAAGCGTGCCCTTTTCTGGGCTAACCTGAGGGCAGCTATTAGCATTAACCTGCCAAT